TTAAAAAAAATATATATATATATATATATATATATATATATATATATATATATATATATATATATATATATATATAACTATCACGGTCCTACATTTTTTACCGTGCGCATCGTGATCTTGACACGCTCACGACTAGCCTTGAGGGAAATTAAGCCCCATATATATTTTTCGCCTCAGCTTTGTGGCCTCGTCAAACCTTAGACGAGGTTTGTCTTCGCCAATCGAACAAGCTTGGTTTCCGAACATCGCTGGTGCGGAATCCAAGCTTGTTCAACCACACACGCCGTCTGCGCGTGCATGTTTAGTCATCTGCGACACATCCGACTTGCTTCTACACTAGGCCAAGTTATTCGGCTCGACCTGCCAAGGTCCCTCAATACAACGTCGCATCTCATCTTACCATCTCGATCCAAATTGTTTTTAAAATAAAAAAAATATTTATGAACTTCTAATATTAAAACGTTTGTATATAATCTATAAGATGTTAATAGACAGTTTTCGTCCTTGACAATACGATTTTTTTTTTATTAATGCTATTTTTTAAATTTTATGAATACTTCTTAAATACAGTAAAGATATTTTTTATTTTTTTTTAAAGTTAAAGGGTATTAATGAAATATTTTTTAAATGCTATTAAAAGTTTAAGAGTATTTTTTAAATAAATATAATTGGACTGACATATACGAGAATTTAATCGTTCACTCCCACGTATTATATTTAACCTTTAATTTTTATTTAATTTTAAATAAGATAAAAAAAAATAGTTTATTTTTACCAAATCAACCTTGAAATTAATTTTAAAATGTCACCAATTTTTAGGTCAAGTGGTTAAATAAAAACTTAAATGGCCAAGTGGACAGCTTTCTCTCTTATTATTTTATTGGGTCATAGTTCATTATTTTATTTAATTATTTTATAAATAAGGGTTATCATTCATTTAATTAATTATCTTATAAATAAGGGTCATAATTTATTTGACGGACTCGTGTATTTTTATTATTTATTTAGAATGAGGTGGAATTTGACCCAACACAGCTCAAGGGAGTACGATTTTGGGCTGGATATTATTGTATTGGACAGGGCTATTTTTGTAATATTATCGAGATCGAAGTCGTGGCAAATTAAGTTAAGTTAATATTGTTTATCTCGATAATAAGTATTTATACAATTTGTTATTGTCCCTTGGAAAATATGTAAAAGGTAATAAAAATTCTATTAGCAATGTTAGATAACCTTGATTTGGTTGAGACCGAGAGCCTTTTTGAAGACAACTCAGATAAATTAATAAAAATATTCTTAAAATTTGTAGCTTAAAAAATACTTTTACCAGTTTTGGAAGTAAACTGCAGTACTTTATTTAAAAATGTTGGATGAAAGTTCCACATCAGACTAATTAATTTAAGGGAATGACCATGAGTTTGTAATAAAATAATACTATTTCCATTGGTGTGAGGTGTTTTGGGGAAGTCCGAAGCAAAGCCATGAGAGCTTATGTTTAAAGTAGACAATATCATACTATTGTTGAGAGTCTATGTTCATTGAACATAATATCAGAGTCATGCCCTAAACTTAGTCATGTCAATAGAATCCTCAAATGTTGAACATATGACTCCAAAAGAAAAGGAGTCGAGCCTCGATTAAGGGGAGACGTACTTTGTTCGAGGGGAAGTGTTGGATGAAAGTCTCACATCCGGTTAATTTAGGAAATGATCGTGGGTTTATCGAAGAGAGTTTATGTTCAAAGTGGACAATATCATACCATTGTGGAGAGTCGTGTTCATCTAACAAAAAAAAATGTCTTTAAAATTTTAATAGTGTTTCGAATATACCCTCGTAGCAGTCTTAATACTCTTTTTAGATTTATTTTTAAAAAGTTTGAAAACTCAAATATTAATTAACTGATTGATATTAATTTAATATGAGGTTAATATAATTGATTAAAATATTTATTTAATTAATTTTTCTGAAAAAATAAATGATTAAGTGGAGCTAATTAGTGATTACTTATTTACTGAATATATAACACGTACAATTAACCTTTCCTTTTCCTGCATGATCTGATGCTCCAAAATAGCCCCCTGCTTCTTTTGAGTTTTGGGGAAGATTGTTTTGTCAAACTAGAAATCGATCCACGGCGTGAAAAATCTGTGATCCTCCTCTAGTTTGTTCAAATTCTGCACTGAATCCGACATTCTTTTTTATGACTGAAATCCATCCCATCACTTGAGTACAGGGAGTCGTGGAATTCTACAACGTGGCGAGCAGATTGCGAAGTGTCCTGTAATGCAGAGGATGCAGGTAATGAAACCGATGTTCTTGATGTTTCATGTTGGTTCGTCTATTCTTCTTACCTGTAGTGGCTGTGTGTGCCCTAAGGACAAGGATACGGGCGAGAAGTTCATACGGTTTATCTTCTGAATTTTCAGTTTGTGATGTCCGTATTTGGTAGGATTAGGCATCCTTTCGTCGAAGGTCCTAGCTAGATCAATTACTTAGAGATTATATGTAATCTGCAGATATTAGATGAACAAGTTTGTCATTTCCAAAATTAATCACATGCCTATAACCCGTTGGATATTGTACACACTGATCTGGGGTCCTACAATTGATATCCATGGATCTATTCATGAAGATAGATGTAACGACTCAAACTCACCGCTAGCACATGTTGTCCTCTTTGGACTTTCCCTCTCAGACTTTTTTTGAATGTTCTAAAATGTGTCTACTAGGGAGATGGTTCCACACACTTACAAAGAATATTTCGTTCTCCTCCTCAACCGATGTGTGATCTCACAATCCACCTTCTTCGAAGCTAGCGACCTTGCTGACACTCGTTCTCTTCTCCAATCGCCCTCCCAAATTCACCCTTTTTGAGGTCTTTGCTAGCACACCGCCTAATGTCTGGCTCTATTACCATTTGTAACGACACAAGCCCATTGCTAGAAAATATTGTTCTCTTTGGGCTTTTCCTTTCGGAATTTTCCTCAAGGTTCTAAAACGCGTCTGCTAGGGAGGGAGAGGTTTCCACACATTTACAAAGAATGTTTCATTCTCCTTCCCAACCGGATATTGTTCCAGCATTCAAACAATTCCTGCCAATGGTTTCCACCTTTTATGTGTATAAATGGCAGTAGTGACTACACCATTCAGAACACAAAATCTGATCTGGCCAAAGAAACAATAATAAAGTCTGTCTTCAGAATTTTTGGAATCTTATGTTCTTATTTTTTGGTCTTGTCTTAACTCGACTCCATTTCATCTGGTCTTTGCTGTAAAGAATGTAAAATAGCCATTCATGATGATGAGACCTTTTGATGTGCGTGATCCACACAATGCAATGCCTTCAAAGCTGTTTCCTGATGTTTGATACTAAGTGTTGTTGCCATCTCTTCTGATTTAGAAGGGAAATGTTATTTCAATAATGTTCAAGGACAATTGAATCGATGCAGATATGTTAATCAATCTTGTTTACAGTACAGCTCGTTTTTTTATACATCATTAATTTAGTTTTTACTTCTGAAACTGTGTGCGAATCCAATTATGATGGCGAATGTTTACATGGGTGAATGATATTTCTTTTTCCTATTCATAATTCATGCTTATTTAAGCCTCTACAAGAGTGTAAACCCATGATTGATTGTTTTGAATTGACTAACAAAGCAAAATGACAAAAACTTCGTTATCTGAAGTTGATACAGAGCCCATGTAATATAAACAACAGCATAGTTCATATATATTTGCTAACAATATAACAACATAGCATCACACTGCCACTTTGAATTACACACTCAAATATATGCATCTTTGTTTTTGTTGAACAAGATTTTAGTTGCATTTTAGGATGGCTAAGCTTCAGTAGTATGCACCGAAGGGGAGCCCATCTTTCTTGATGCTGCCATCTTTATTTCTTAGATGATAATAATGTTACTACACAACTTTCAAGCTGAAGAACCAATGATCTGATGACACTACCCTCCTCCCTTTGTCCGGGCTTGGGACCGGCTGTGTAGAAGAAATGATGCTTAATGCACGACACAGGCAGAGTTATCATGCCATTGTAAGTTGTAGAATAACATAGCTTTCAGGTAGATAAGATATTATTTGTGTTTATGTTGGTCCACCCCAACAGGTTAATACAAGTATCAGAGCCTTTACTTGAATGATAGAACAAAGGCTATCAAGGAGAAGGCACATGGCAGCCAAGAGATCCAGGAGAAAATCTGACGAGTTAGAAGAAAACTTGCTATGATCCACACACCCATTGCAGCGATAAGAGCACTGAGCTTTCCAAACAAAAGTGCAATTCTCGGGAATGCATTTTGAAGGAAAACTCCAGCAAATGAAACTACGAAGCTTATCAACACCGCAGCACCAAAGAGATGTGTCAAAAGTGGAGGATATGAAGTGGGTGAACTGATGAACAAGGCCAAAACTGCCTGAAAAGTAAGGCCAAGAATTATCTTCCCAAGATTAGTCTGAGGGCTGTTGGGTGGTGGAGAGTTCTTCATTCTGATGCAAATTGGAAGGCCAGCCGATGATGTGGAGGTTCCCCAGGTAATACTACTAATTCCTGGATTTCTTCCATTCATTGCATTGATGAAGGAATATAGTTCATTCATATCTAGGGAGATTTGCTCTGAACATGATTCCATTGGAAAAAAAAGAAAAAAAAAACTCTCAATATCTCTTGTGAATTCTTTGAAGTGATGATTTATTCTTGCAGTTCCTTTTTATTGGAGGATGCAGTGTTCTAGAATTCATGAGAAGGTTCGGTGATTCTAGTACAAGTTATAGAGCAGAAATTTCTTGGAAGTTATGAAGGTGAGTTCTTTTGGCATAAGAGTCTCTTTGTTTATCATAACATGATCTGCTTTGCTTTCTTGGTAATTTCTTCTCCTTTGAATGGAGGAAGCAAAAGGATGAACACTTCAGAGCTTTTAAAAGCTACGGTTGGATTCTTGACTTGAATTTTTTTTTTTTTTCATGTTTGCAAAAATAATAATTTCTTTTCATCAAAAAAAAAGTTGATGGGTCGTGTTAAATACTATTATTTTAGTCTCCACACTTTCAAAACGTTCTTTTCAATTTTTATATTTTTAAAACGTTCATTTTAGTTTTTGTACAACAAGTGTCATTTTAATTTTTAATTGTAAAAAAATTTACTGAGCTTTTCACGAGCAAAATGTAGTAGTATTGTACAGAGTATTTTGTTTAATTTTTAATGGTAAATTTTGCAAAATGCAGTAGTATTCTACCGAATATTTTGTTTAATTTTTAATTGTAAAAAAATTTACTTAGCTTTTCACCGAAGCAGTGTTAAGCAAAGCAAAATGTAATAGTATTCTACCGTGTATTTTGTAATATCTCTTCGATGGGTGTTAAAAAAAACTGCAAATCTTGAAAAAGAGTGCGAATATTTCCCGCAATAATTTATATTCAGCTCTGTTTTTTGTTTTTTATTTTTACAAAATGTTACTGTTGTCATATAAATTAAATGGTTATGAATAAATATTATATGCTTTTTATGTGTTGTTTATATTATATAAATGAAGATGGGTCAACTCAGAAAATATAGGAAGCCCTTAGATCTGTATATTATTTATTGACAGTTTATGCATTTTATTATACCGACTGGAAGGACTTTGTTTATTAATAATAATAAATAAAAAACAGGTCAATTCTAAAACTTTTAAAAAAAATAAGAAAACATTAGAGTCCATAAAAAAAATAAAATGTCTCCTTGGTAGTTGTGATTTGCTAAATTCTATTTAATTAGAAAATTTAAATTAAAAACACAGTCTAATTTATCGAAAGTTTTATTTATGAGGTTTGAGAATATAATATCGGGTTAATTGAATAATTTTATCAATTAAATTTTGATTTAATTTTTATTGTAAATAATATGTTTTTAGTTTTTTTTGTTTGTTTATTTAGTCGTCAATTTTATAATTATTCTCAAATAAATGATTTAGGCTAACATTTAAAAAGAAAATCAATAATAAACATAATATAAAATAAATAAAAATCCATATTTCAAAAAACAAGAATAATTAAAAAATGAGAGAAAATTGAGATAAATAAATAATTTGACAAAGAAATAATACAAATAGAAAAAAATAATAATAATAATAATAAATAAATAAATAACTGATGGGTTTTAAAGGTTTTAAAATATGAAAAAAGCTGACGAAGCAAAATTTTAAATCTCCTCCCCCAAACATTGGTAAAGATTTATCTCCCCAACCAAATAGAAGTTCAAACATTTTTTTGGAAACTTCAAATATTGTCGTAATTGCACTCTGATGACAACGGACTTTCGATTGTGCGGCACTCACTTCTCTGAGAAGTAAGTTAAGTCCATTTATTCTTGCGTCGTCTACGGCCAAACGACGTATGTTCGAACCTTTAGCCTTGGTTCAAGAAGAAAATTATAGAGAACGGGGGCAAAGAGATTTCAGGAGAGAGTTTTGAAAGTGTTGAGAAAATGAAATTGATGTTATATAGGAATATAAGCAAAAGGCAACAACAACGACTTACTGCATATAATTATCGAGCAGCAGGATAATCGCACTTTTGTGCATAACGATTGTGCGACATTTGTTCTAATCCAACGAACATATTAACCGTGTCAAAGTCAAAACTTTATAGACAATGTTAACGTATGATTGAGCCTTGGATCACGTTTGAAAGAAATATTTTAGAAAAACATTGAGTGAGGAAATGCATTGAAGACTATTTGAAAGAAACCAATCTTATAAACTAAAAGCGAATAAGAAATAACCACATCTTTGATATCATATGACCCGAGTATGAAAAATTGACAATTAGTCATATATCCCTACAATACATTTTGAGGCATTTTACACCTGGTGGGTGTAAATATGATTTTGGTGAACGATTATTAACTTTGTATTGACACGATAAGAATAATAAAGACCTAATTACACATGAAGTAAGTAAAAAGTATTTAGAACGAGCATGTAGTCACAAACAACCCGTCGTATATTGATCTTTTTCCATTAATTTAGTTCCTGATGTAATTTAAATCCAATTTCACCTCAAACAAATATTATTTTAAAAAAAATTAACAATAAAGATACACTTTGGAATAAATAAATTAAAACAAATCTATTTTGAAAATGAAATAAAAGAAATATATTAATATTTATCTTCAAACTAAAGCTTTTGTGGGTAAAAGAAATCAAAATATTAAATTTATTTTATATTGGATATATCTCATCTTTATTTTCACCAATATTTTCTTATTTTTAGGATATAGTTTGTAGTTTGTATTTTATTTAAAAGTTAGCAACATCAATGAAAATTGGACTTTAGATCTGCACGGAAACTTTTGATCACACCTATGTTTGTTGGACGTTCCATCCTACTTATGTTTTAACAAGGTATCAGAGCATCATTCTTAACATGGTATCGTAACGTTATTCTTAACAAAAATTAATAAAATAAAAATAAAGAGGGAGATCTTAAATTTCAAAGATTTAGAATGGGTCTACTAATAATTGAGCAAACAATGAAATAACCAAAAAGACAGCAACTTATTCTTGTGGCACACAGCTTTACACTTAGAACAACCTTTGACATTTATTTTCACAAAAATAATGGCATCAACAAAATTATAGCTCTTGAATTGTCTCTTCACTCAATTCAGCACAGTAAAATCCATTAATGAAATTGGATAGATATTGGTTGGTGCATTTGATTTGATCCAAAAATTTCAAAAAAAGGCAAGAAATCATGTTCGTTGAAAGGAAATGAACTCAAACATAACACCCAGATGCATATCCTGTTCATGTTCATCGAAACTGAAGATTAAACAAATACAAGTGTTCAAAGGATTTAAGATTTTGTATTGGGTTCTTGACCAAACAAACCCATCCATTAAAGATCTTATACAGCTCTCTCGTTTCAAGAACTCGATTAAAAAAATGGGAAGAAACCCAAATGAGAGTTGGCAATTTCAGTTGCTAGCTCAAACACAGGAATGATTATAAGCTTAAAATATTGAGAATGGCAGAGGGAAGTGTTCAAGTTGATGATAAAGAATTGTGAATCAAGAAAAGGTTTATTAGAGAGAGAAGGGTTTGCTTTTTGGCCCTTTAATTATTTTTTGTTGCAGTAGAAGTGGCGATGGTTAATCATCGAGGGCGCTCTTTTTCATGTAAGCGTGGGTATAAATTCAGCGTCCCTTTACTGTTCCGTTTCCTTTTCGCTATTTCTTCAAATTCCCATTTACCCTCTTCTCTGCTTTTCACTTTTTTTCTCACTTTCTCTCTCTAAATTACGAGGGTTCTCTCTGCATTTTCTCTGAGTTCGCTCTGTTTGTGACAGTGTTTTCGCAGAGGTGAGTGCCAGCAGAGGGAGAATGGAGGTGGGATTCTTAACTTCAAGCTCTTATTTCTACTAAAAATTTGGGGAAAGTTGAATAGAATCTGAAATGGGTATATCTTTTCTGCCATTTTAAGCCTGATTTCGACCTTGTTTTCTTCTTTCTCTGATTAGGGTTTTTGTTTTTCCTCTTTTTGGTGATGATTTTGTGTTACCCGTTGATGGGTTTGTGCTTGTTTGCATGATTTTTGCTCATTTGATTAAGTGGGTTCTTCCCTTTCGGATGGATTCTTTGGAAACTGTTGATGATTTTGATGTGTTTTGCTTTGAAATCGTTCTGTAATTGTGGATGATTCTGAAAAATGTGTGGCCATTGTGTTGTTTGTTCTGTTTTCTGTTCTTACTCGCCATTTTGGGCTCTGGGAATTGGATGATTATGAATCTGCTTTGATTTTCCTCTGCAGATTCTTGTTTATTGATGGAAAGAAGTTGAGAGATTGTGTGGTTTTTTTTGTTGTTGTTTTGCTGATAGTATGAATGGGAAGGATGAATTTGAAGATGAGTGTAGGACTAGTGATCCTATGAGTATCTCCTCTAGTTGGCAATTTGCTAATGAGTCGATCGGATTTGTTTCGACCGGGAATCCCTCGGTCGTTAGCAATGGAGATCTAGGTGTTTCTTCTTGTCCTTCAACTTCAATGTCGAACTTGTTTACTCCAACCGTGTTGAATGATCATACGAACTCGCAAAGCTCGAGGTTCTGCAGCAGTTTTAATGAACAAAACAGTATAGATGATTCTAATGTGACTGTTGTTGATGGGGAAGGTCTGAGTTCTTTGAGATCTAGTAGTGATAGAATTCTGGGTATGGATTGGAACCAACAAAGTTCATGGATGAAAGGAGTTTTCTCAGGGAATGTTCCTGGAATGTTTCCAGCTAATTTGTCTCAGCTACCAGCTGATTCGGCGTTCATAGAGCGTGCAGCACGGTTTTCTTGCTTCAATGGTGGCGTTTTCGGGGCTCCACCTGCTGGTTCATTTGGTATTTCAGGCTCTAATGGCATTCATTCTAGGGGTGCCTTTGGAAGTCAGGAACTAAACAAGGTTGTGTTGGAGGGTAAAGAAAAGAGTCCACCAAAGACCGAGAAAGAAAGCGAGATGTCTCGAGACAGGGCTAAACAAGGTTGTGTTGGTGAGTCTGGTAATGAATCTGATGAAACTGGGTTTAGTGGCGGTCAAGACGAGCAATGCACGTTGGGAGGTACCATTGCTGAACCATCTCGGGAAGGATTGTGCTTCAAGAAACGGAAAAGGGGCGATCGGGTAAACTATTATAATGCCTTTTCTCTCTTGTGTGTGTGATATTGAGGTGAGGTGGATGTTATCATTAACTTCTTAGAATTGAATATTTGATTTTGTTAGAATATGGAACTTGCTCAAGTTAAAGAAGCTTCGAAACAAATTAACGAAACTGCGAAGAACGGGGCATTAACTTGGCAGAACGGAGACAAAGACCAAAATCCAAGTTTTACTACTAACAAGGCTGCTGGGAAGCAAGGAAAACAAGATTCTCAACCGTCGGATGCGCCCAAAGAAGAATATATTCACGTTAGAGCTCGAAGAGGCCAGGCGACGAACAGCCATAGTCTTGCCGAAAGGGTTAACATTTTCTTCCATTTTCTTTTTCTAGTTAACTAAAAACAAGTTTCATATAGGGAAAAGGACTAATTTACTGCCTTTATAGGTAAGAAGAGAAAAGATAAGTGAAAGAATGAGGCTCCTTCAAGACCTCGTGCCCGGGTGCAGTAAGGTTCGTGAGTCGAATTTGTGAACTGTTTGTTTTGTGTACTTGTCATCACTATATCCTGAAAAGCTGCTCGGTTCTCAGGTCACTGGCAAAGCTGTAATGCTCGATGAGATCATTAACTATGTTCAATCGCTGCAACGACAAGTCGAGGTAACGAAAAGAAACCATACTTCCCGTTCTGTGGATTATTCGACCGTATTCCCGATTGGTTCTTTATTAACCGCCCAGCTCGGCATAAGAGCATTTGTTCTTAAGCATAAAGTTTCAAATTCGGTCGATATCTTTAACGATCTTATTTAGTTGAATCTAATTCCCATGATACTCTGCAGTTTTTGTCAATGAAACTTGCAACAGTTAATCCCAAGCTGGATTTTAACATCGAAGAGCTCCTAACAAAAGAAGTAAGCAGGCTACTGTGATATCCAATGAAACAGTTCATGCTTCTTTGATTCCATGTGATAATCTTTACGCCATGTCTCTGAACAGATCATGCAATCAAAGGCTGGTCCATCCTTATTTGGTTTCCCTCCTGATCTGCCTATGCCTTACCTCCCGCAACATCCGACTCACCATGGAGTTATTCCGCCTTGTATCCCGAACATGGGAAGCTCACCCGACCTGCTACGAAGAACGATTAATTCCCAGTTGACATCACTTGTTGGTGGATTCAAGGAGCCTGTTCAGGTTTTTTTTCTCATGTATCCTGAACTAAATTATCATGCATGTTTGGGCAATTATCTGTTCGATGTGATGCATAATATTTCACCGGCGCTCGGGATTAACTCTCTCGAACATGCTTACTCACACTGTATTTTGTGTTTGGTTATGTTTCAAAGAAATGGATGTTGACACGAAAGCTCGTCCCGTCAAGATGCTTTTGTTCCAAGACTCCAATGCTTTTATGATCATATTGTAATATGACATGAATATGGCTTTTGCAGCTACTGAATGTATGGGAGAACGAGCTCCACAATGTCGTTCCAAGGAACTTCGACGTTGCTGCCCCTCCCAGTGGCCAAGATGTCGATGGTACTATTCGTTCAAGTTTCTCCGTAGGCTAAAATCTAAGTTCTTAAAAGTAAGTTAGCTTCATTTTACTCTCTCAGGCTCTACTCCACCATGCAACAACACCAGAGCAGAACCCTAAGTTCGAATTCGAGCTCTTAGTCTTTACATGATTCAAAGTTGTATAGGGTAAAACTAGCATGTGCATCCATAGAGAATAATGCAAATTTCATTTCTGCCAAGTCTGATGGCGGGTTTCACCGATAAGCTCGTAAACGTGGAAGAGAAGTTAGAACGGGGACTGAAGCGAGATCGGTAGGGATGGGAATCCAAACAGTTTAACACATTTGCATGTATTTCAATGCAAGAAGTTGAGAATCATACAAGGCAAGGCAGAGATTTGCTGCACAAAAACAGAGAACGTTGTAATGGTTCAGAAAAGAGGCTGCTGTCTCCACCAAGATTGAGAAAGTGTTTAAGTTTTTGTATTTTCCCCATTAAAATTTAAGATCTTGCAGTTCGTGTGTGTGAACTCCAATCTGTTTACATATGTATGTTAGTTTCTTCTTTCATCAACGCATCATTTGATAGCATTAGACGTGTTAAGGCTAAGACATTTGAAACTGTGAGAGATTTCATTTGCATTATTCTCAAGAATTGTGTACCTTTTTGCATTTTTATACCCACTGGATCGAGATTTAATCATCGAAATCGATGCATTTATGAATCAAAACTTGTTGAATGATCTGCCAAACACCACCAGTATCTTGTTTCGTTCACAGCAGTGTCAAAAGGCTGGCTTCTAACATCTAGCCAAGGTTAATTTCATCCTAATCCTGCCATGGATCATCCTCTGCCCTCACTTCCGAGGGTTCGATCACTTGCACTTCCGGTGCCTCGGCACTTTCGGATTCAGCAGAAGCAGCAGAAGAAGCATCATCTTCGACGTTGTCTTCTAATCTACCCCATCTGCCTCCAAGTGCCATTGCCATCATCTCATATATCTTGTTTCCTAATTCAGCTGGACTATCAGGCTGTATGAAGACGAGCAGTGAGAGAACAATGTAAGACATCAATCAAAATCATGAACTCCTGGAAAATAATCAAACATTGATTGAACTTTCTCTTACAGAGAATCCACTGGATATCAATGCTGTCTCGTATAAAAGATCAACGGCTCTAGTAGCATCACTGCTATCCGGTGAATTTTTGCAAGCGGCCTGTAAAACAGAACAATGTGTTAACATACTTCTAAACTGTCATGAACTATTCTTATTCCATTTTCTTAATGGTATAACTAAAATCTCCTTAGTCAAATCATCTAATCCATCAACTATATGAGTAGGAGGATCTCATCCCATCAGCAAGCAAGCAAGCAATTTTCGGACGTTGAGAACGTGGTTCGTGCATCAATCTTTGACAAAAAATTTGGCTTCATCCTGATGTCCTACAGATAGACTAACAAGTACCTATTCCCAATCAAAACATAGGGATTGTTAGAAGTCTTACATTTAGATCCTTGACGATCGGATGATCTGGATTAATCTCCAAAATTCTCCTTCCCCTCATAAACTCCAAACTCGAAGTATCTCCGAGAGCCTGTGCCTTCATTAACCTGGAATAACGGGGAAATCGCCGATAAGATATTGTTATACTGAAACCCCCAAAAATATATTTCCGAGTAAAAAAAATTTCGGCATCTGAATCGTATCAGAGAATGCTTAAAGCTCAATTTCGACAGGAATATCCAAACTTGTTTAGTTATAATCAAATGGTTAAAATCTAAATCTATAAGAACTATTACATAAATCATTATGATATTCATCTGTAATAGGAAAGAGGCCAAACTGAGACAAAAAAGAGTACTTGTTTACATAAGTGAGTTACTTTTAATCTCGCAGTGTAGATAATAACCTATTAGAGAAGTACTCATTTATATCAGTCCACATCGAGATTGGTTATGTTGAGACATTGAGCATTTAATGTCGAAAGCATACCTTTCCATATTTGCAGACCATCCAAACTTGCCGGAAACTAGGACACACGGAGAAGAGCTTAAGCGCTTAGAGACTTGGACTTTTGCTACCTTGTCACCTAGTTGTTGCTTAATCCAGTCACAGAGGAGGTTGTAATCTTGCTTAGTTTCTCTTTCTTGGACTTCATCCTCGTCGCCTAATACAAGAAAGCAATTACTGGTATAATTCAAAAATAACATACTGTCTTTCACAAGAACAAAATAACATTCTCTGCAAGTCGGCTAATTTCTAAACCAAAAATGAGGAGAAAAGAACAAACCCAGCTCTAAATCTTCCTTGCTAATATCAACAAATTTCTTCTCTTTGTATGTCTGCAAGTTCTGGATTGCAACTTCATCGATGGGTTCGATCAAGTAAAGAACCTAATCGAACGAAACAACCCAACATTAGATGTACAGTAAGGCTGTTAAAAGACACAAACAGCATTCATTAAAGAGCAGACCAAAGATGGGAAGTGGAACAAGAGAACATCCCAACTCAGCCCAGCAGTTATGCAAGAACAGCTTCCCAGCATTCATTAAAGAGTTATAATGGTAGAAAGTAAAAAAGGTTGGTAGAGAAGAAAAAGGGTTAAGAACCATGTAATAAGTACCCAAACTTAAGGAAGCAGCATCCCACTACCACCAACACCAAAAAAAAAAAAAAAAAAAAAATTAAAACAAAAACGTTCTTTTCACTCTTCTAAAAATCTTTGGCTTCTCAATCCAATTCATCCACATAAGAGCTCTAGAAGCTTCTTTATAACTCTAAAATTGGAATTAGTTATTTCTCTCAGAAAGTTTATCAACATAGAAAATATTTAGCATAATTGTATGATCGGCAGTTGACTAAAATAACTAATATCAACCCTCTGTGAGAGTTTCTTGGAATAGAAGAATTTTTTTTACCTCAATATCTTTTTGAAGCAATTTCTCCAAGAATGGAGCACTCTTGGCACTCTTTAGGCTGTCAGTCGCCAAATAGTAAATTGCCTTCTGATTCTCGCCCATGTTCTCGACATAATCATCTAAGCTCTTCAGCTCCTCTTCACTTTTGGAGGTGTAAAACCGCAATAATGGTGTTATGCGCTTGTGATTTCCAGTGTCCTCAATGCATCCTAATTTTAAGAACCGGCCAAAATTCTCCCAGAATTTCTTGTAATCCTGAAACACAGATTCCCTTTTTCCAGTTTACACAGCACTAAAAAAATGCAAATAGATTATGTCATATTTGACTTCATAGCTACAAACCTCTTTATTTTCACTTTCAGAGATGTCTTGAATCATGTCAAATGTTTTTCTGACAAGTCTCTTCCTCATAATTCTCACCTGGAAAATATTTGACAAAAGTAGATTCATCAAGCATGTTGATGATTGCAACAACAAATTGCCAGTAAAAGATAATCTTCTATCGAGAGCAAACAAAATCTCAAAGTTGATTGGGAATGTGCTGGAAAAAGAAAGAAAAAGGAAAAAGTTTCTTTTAAATTGTGGTTACCATTTCGGTCTGGCCCAGAGTTCAATCAGTAATGCCAACTACTAAGACCAGAACAAATTTCAAACTACACATTCGTAAACTAGGTACTTGTGCCCCTACTTAAGGAAATCGTAAGTGAAAAGTGGTGGAAAGAAGATATGTTATGTTTATGCCTACGAAACCAGTAACATTGAAACATTTTAATTTTAGGGTTTCAGGCTTATAGGAATGATGAATAGAAAAACCATAGAAAATGTAAGAGAATAGATAATTGTGCATGCTTGATGCATTTTTTCTTGATAAGAAATTGAGTTTTGATTGGGAAAGATGACAAAATATACAAGGGCACCAAAAAACAAGTTCAATAAAAGCGTCCCATAAAAACTACAGAAAGGAACTCTAATGCAATAAATCAGACCAAGACCATAATTATAAAGAGGCCTACAAGTGATTGATACCCACAGCTCACATTGACGACTGCTGAAAGCCAAGAGAATATAGCCCTTCCTAAGAAACTAATGTATATGTTTAAAACAACTTACGATTCGGCTTTCTTGAAGAATTTCTCGAGAAACATTTAGGGGGAGGTCATCGGAATCTACCACACCTTTCACAAAGCTCAAATATCGTGGAAACTGCAAAGCATATGTAAGCTTTAGTTCAACCATTTAAAGAAACTCAAATTACACTAGAAATTCACATTAATTTTTTATTAAATCAAATGTGGTTAGAAAATAACAAGTGCTTTCCAAGTAGGTTTTAGAACAGAGTCAGACTTGTGATTGTTCAGCAAACTAGTTTATAAGGTATGGGATTCTACATGGATTAGTTTAAGTATAAGATATGAAGACTTAGAAGACAATTCACAATAATATATGAAACACATCTTATATATCGTAAATATACTCACCAGCTCACCATCAAAATCATCAGAGATGAAGACACGCTTAACATACAGACGAATATTCTTTGTTTTAGGATTTACAACATCCTCATTATTCATAGGTGCCATTCCAGGAATATAAAGAACACTCCTGAACTCCACTTCGCCCTGTAGGGTTAAAAATGAAATTAGTACTCCTAGGCTCTAATAAAAGATAAATTCGTATTAATTAAACTAAAGGATGCATTACCTCCGTGGTGAAGTGAGAATATGCGAGTGGCTCTAAAAATTCATTAAATGTCTTCTTATAGAATTCATTGTACTCATCCTTCTCAACCTCTTTTGCATTCCGCATCTACACATGAAAATTACAAGAATGAAGGATTATAAAAATGCACGATTGCAGAAGAACACTTGAAAGACTATAGAAACAAAATCATTTCTTTACAAGTTCAGTATGGACATATAACGCAAATATCCCTTCAACTCACCCAGATTGGCTTTGTTTCATTAGCCAATTCCCAGTCCCAATACTTCTCGGTTACTGTCTTCTTTTTCTTCTTGCCCTGAAAAACAAGAAAACCTTCAAATACCTTGATCATGGAGAATAGTACAAATTTCTGAACTATGATTTACAAGTGGGTTACATCTGGTTGTGGTTCTTCTCCTTCTTTGAGTTCTTCTTCTTCTTCCACCTGCCCCAAAACTCGATTCAGTATTGAAAGTAATAAACACGTAATTAAATAATGCACATGATGATTCCTCCTAATTGATAATCACATCAAGAAAGTAATAAACTAGAAAAAAACTCAAATAATGACTCAAAATCAAATATCAGAAATTGAGGGATTATACAATCATTTTGGACAGAAGTCCTAACTACAAATCTGAATTGTTAAATTTAGAAAAGAAACGCTTAACCAATTTTCCTTACATATAGTAAGAGTAAGATATACTCAAACTCATTAAGAAGAATAAACTATTAGAGCTTTTTGCATGGGTAGCATAAAAGTCTCATTACAAGTAAATGCATAGCATTCATACCTCCACAGTTTTTGACTTCTCTTGCCATGTGAAGATGGGGAAGGAAACGAACTGTGAATAATTTTTTACCAGACCTTGAATTCTGGTCGGATCAGAAAATTCATACTTGTCATCTTCCTGCAAAATGGAACAAAAGATTATAAAATGATTGAATAACCTCAGAGATTGTAATTTAATGGCATCACTTGCAACTTGCCACATAAACAATGCAAATCATGAACCCCTAATAAACTATCCACAAATAAAACAACAAATATTACCATAACACGTAAAGGTAAATGCGGCAATAATTGTATTCATCTAAATTGAGTTGTTCTACCAATCACTCCTAAACATTTATAGTTTCTTAACAGTTCCTAACAGGCATGGAATAGTTCCGAAATATTGTGTTATAGAAGATATACTGCATACCCTTAAGTAGAGTGTGATCTGTGTTCCCCGCGGTAGAAGCTTTTCAGGATCTGTTTCTTCCCTAATAACATATGAACTACTATCGGCTACTGCTTCCCAAACATATTGTTTATCTGATTTTGGGCTCTTGGTGGATACAACAACCTGATTGCATATGATCACATTAACATAGAAGATAGACATAATGAGTAACTTAGCAGAAAAGAAGTTTGCATCAAAGAGAACAGTTATTTTGTCAAGGGAAAACATTACTCGACCTTTTCAGCAACAAGAAAGGCCGAATAGAATCCAACACCAAATTGACCAATCAAGCTATTGTCTGCTCCAGCATCCTTGTTTTCCTGATAGAATTGTCATGTTCAGACATTAAATTTCACTTCCAATGACCATAAAAAGCCCGAAGAAACTGGAGGTGTGCAAAATATGATACTGAAACAAGTGGAAATAGAGGAAGGGGGAACCTTCAGGGCCTTCAAGAATCTTGAAGTGCCACTCTGAGCGATAGTTCCGAGACAGTCAATGAGCTCTTCTTTAGTCATTCCAATACCAGTATCTCTAAAAACAAAAAAAAAAAAAAAAAAAAAAATTGAAATTGTTAAATAACTAAGTTCACTCAGTAATGCTCAGTAATGATAAGTAAAACAGTACAAGATCCATGAAAATTGTCATACGTTATGGTGATAGTACCACTGTCGGCATCAGGTTTGATACGAATTTCAAGGTCACCAGCTTCTCCAAGCAGAGAGGGTTCAGTCACGCTCAAAAATCTTAGCTTGTCTAAAGCATCACTCGCGTTACTAGAGAACGATTAAAAAATAAAATTAACATAAAGATTACAAAAACATATTGAACCACATTCACTGGAAATTGACCACAATGCATAGCCATTTTCTTGCTTCCTTGAATGAACATTATTACCTCACTAGCTCTCGAAGAAACACCTCCTTGTGGCTGTATAGACTGTGAACAATCAAATCCAGGAGGCGACTAACCTGCAGTCATTATACCAAATACTTCATAAAGCCTCCACATAAACCCGATACATGCTCGGAAATTAACGTTTCAAAAATACCAAGAGAACAATACTTCGTTTTCCATAAATTTGGCTTTAAAGAAAACAAAATCAACGAGAACTCCTAATCTTTTAACAAAATTACAGAAACCTCATTTCCCAACTGCTCTCTATCTTTCAACAAAAATGAAAACTTAATTGCTTAATAGGTCGATCATTGCCCTTCTCACCGCTCACCATCAGTTCAAAATCAATCAATATCACCAACATATACGAAGAATTCAAACACCCACCTCAGCTTGGTACTCAAACTTCTCACCGGGAGTCTCAGCCGCTTCTTTCTCGGCGACGGCCGCCTCGCACCTGACCGCAATCCGATTAACCTTCTTCTCAATCTTCCACTTCAACCCACCAGAAGAAAACCCGTTTCTGAGCCCATTTCGGGGCAGAAAAGCGCTTCTCAAGCTCAAGCGCGTACCACTGGTAGGTAGAGGGTAAGAAAAAGAAGAAGCAAGTGAAGAAAGAGCAACAGTGGATAAGCTTCTGCTGAAAACTGGAGCCATGAAGCGCTGTGAAAAGATAAGAGTTGGTAGAAGAGGCGAATTCCAGAATGAAATTAAACCCTTACGAGAGGTTTAAGGGGAAGACGTAGAGAGTTCTAGAAAGCGATGAACAATTTGGGGGGTTTTGGTTTGGAGCTTAGTGCCTGCAAATGTGTGGCTCCTAATATTCTCCCATTTTACCAATTTCTAAAACAATATCCTCTAAATAATATATATACATTTTTTTTTTTTTTTTTTTTTTTTCGA